TGGGCTAGGCTTTGTTAACAGTAGCAAGAAGTCTCTGGACCACCTGTCTTACTAGTTTGTTAAGGTCCAGGAAAATATTCCCTTTTGTTGTTTCTTTCCATATTTAGAGTTACACTATTATAATCATAAATCTTCTATAGAACTATATATATCTGGTTCACTGCTTCAAGTTGCCTAGTCATCATTTTATCAGAGGCTTAGTCATATATTTATTAATATAAGAAACAATAATTCTGTAAAATGCGCAACATGTACTAATACAACTAGTAGTATGCTAAGGTCGTAAGTAAGAATTCAAGTCAAGAACTTTTATTAGGTAATTTGAGCTATCTATAATAAACTTTCCCTGAACAAAATAAAACTCAGTTTAGTCCAAATGAAATAATTAAAAACTTGGAACAAGTGGTCCGAGTATGAGTTTTTCTGTACTAACATAATCCAAAACACCAAATCCAGAGAGACCTTAATTTACACGTGTGAATTAAATTCTAGGCTAAGTAAGAAGAGGGGAGGGGAAAGAACAGAAACAGCCCTCACCAGGCCCCGTGGGGGCTGAAGGTCAGGTCATCTGTGGACAGCCCTGGCCTGATCCAGCTTTCTAACAGCTGCTCTGTCACTCAGCACCCAGCAGCCTCCTTGTAACGGCTCTGCCACTTGGGGAGCGGAAGCTACGGATACGGAGACTCCAGCCTCTGCTTGGTCAGGGCTTGTTCTGACTCATTACCTCTGCCACTCCTCTCTGCCTACTTGACACTTCTGCCCAGACTAGCGAGTGCTGACAGCCCTGCTGGTACCAAATTCAAATCCCCATGGAGAAAAGATCTGACTGCTTCAGGTAGCTACTCTCCTTCCTGCTGGGCAGAGGACTGCCATCCGTCCACCTCCGCAGATGGAGGCCCCTGTAAATGAGTGCCCTTGGGTCCTGCACCTCCTCCTCTGGCCAGGATGGTGAGAAGGCACAGCTGCTTTCTCAGAGAGCCTGTGGGATGGGATATACTCAGCTTACACCCCTGGGAGCTCCTCTCTGAGCCAGCAGAAGCTTTTGCTGAAACCTGGGAAGTTAGGTGGATCATTCCAAAGGAGGTGCCTTTCAAAGCCCACTCTGATCTAGGTCTCTGAAGAGACATAATCTACCTAATTTTGAGAACACTTGCTTGTTTAGCTTCTTTTTATCTACCCTGAATTTTGGATTCAGCCTAGAAAGCTGGATTGACAGACACAAGGAACATATAACATAAACAACATATTGCTACTGTCTTTTATCAATGATTCATGGTTAAATTTAAGGCTGTCTGACATCATTGGAACACTGAATAAGTGCACCCACATCACTTTATCTTCATTTGTGTTCCTTAATCTAAATAAATGAGTTGCCGCTTTAAAATCAAACATATAACACTGCAAGGGAAAGTGGTGTGAAGTTTAGCAGAAGTTGCTGTTACCTAGGAGCAGTTGGTATTATTTTGCTTTAGAAGGCTGATGCACGGCAATATGGAAATGGTATTTATTCATTTGATATATGAGACCCACTATGTGCCAGGAACTGTTTTCAGCCCTGTGAATATAGCAGTGAGCGCGACAGTCAGTCTCTGCTCTCAGGGGACCTAAATAGTATATGCTCAACTTGTTTTCCCACTTTTTTTTAGAACACTGAAGAGCAGGGTAAGGTGTGGAATGAAGGCCAAAATGAATGAATGATGGTTCTGCACCACAGTTGGCTAACTAAAGTATAAATGAAAGATCTTAAGCAAATAGAATAGCAATTTGAACACTGAAAATGGTAATTTAAGTCTAATTTTAAGAAAGCTGTGAGTCAGAAAAATATCATAATGATATTTTAAATAACAGCCTTGTTGCCTTTATCATTTCTCCCTTTTCCTCTCCCACCCCTTTCATTTCCACTGACTAAAGGGGAAAAA